CTTGCTGTTGACTTTAAAGCGTGAGGACACACATATAAAACAATACATAAAATAACATCTCATAATGCCATCTTTATCAAAATATTAAACCCAGAATTCTAGCTTGGAATCAACATCGTATCAGTTCAATTTTTGGCAGTACTCACTTTGTATTAATTCAGACCAGGACAGTCGTAAGTTGTGACAGTTGAAATGCAACCTCACTTAAGTCAATGGATAAAATTGTTTTCCACAAGTGGAACAAGAACTTTCCTACTATTCTACAGGCACAGCTATTTGCAAAAAGGAAGTTTTAAAACTTCAGAGGATTCCATTATTTGAACAGGCTACAGAAGAAAAGGATAAAAAACTATTCACAAAATAACATTTGAACCTTTTGGCATGAAAAGTTCTGAGAGATTTTAGCACGTTTCTTGGTTAGCCAGTCCACCTATGGAAGCAACTTGTCAGAAACCATGAAATCCATCAAAATGAACAGCCTCTTAATTTTGCTAAAATGACACGTGAATTAATACTGCTTTTCCATGGGAATTTTCTTGCCTTCAGCACTACTTTATCCCCAAAGCGCAGAGCAAACCAAGGAATATATTCCTTTTAAGTACCCTTCTACTGCAAGAGGACCTCTCTTGGTTCCTTCTGATCAGAAAGCAGGTGACTAAGTTCCTTCATGAGGGCAGCGAAAGACAATGGGATTGAAGCTCTAGGAGAAGGGTTTGCTGTAAATTGCAGCACTCCTCTTCCAAAGGCAGCGATACAGAACAGAAGAGACCCAGTGAAGCTGGAGGCACATCACTTCTGCATTTTCTGATAGAATGCATTGAATTACAACTTCCTATAAATTCCTTTCATAATCTTTTTCTTGAAATACACACTATTTTAATACTTAGACTGAACTCAAGCTTTCTGGCAGTTCAAGATGATCTGCAAAATAAGGCACAAATTGGTACAAAGTGCTGAATTCCACAGCAGTTTAATGAAACATACTCAGGGTACCATAGGGGTTCCCAAAAGTATTTCCTTCAACGCCTGCTGAGAAATCACATATTGCTGAAGCTACCTACCATGCGTAACTTTTTGCTGAGTCCAGCACAGCCGATGACATACGCTAGACCTTCAGAAGCCCCGAACAAGTGTTCACATACACAAGCGTTCACAGTTTATAGCAACTGTTGTAATGCTTATTCCCCTCGCCGCTCCCCGAGCTCCCTGTCAGGGCAAATAACTGATTTAATGCCTCCTGTCCCAATATGCAACCGTTCTTCCAAGGCTAGTCCTCCTTATTTGCCTTTTGAATGGATACCAAAGACAACAGGCTCCTTGCAGATAATCCCAATTTAAAGTGCTGTTTCTCACATTTAACTCAAAATTTTTTTGCTATTAGAGAATAAAGTCCTTGGTTTTCATGTGTTCTTTTCTAGAGAGCTGTGTTTTAAATTATGAGTACACCAATATGCATGGCAAAACATGCTGGAATTCTGCTTATGAAATTAAGTCGCATGTCCCAAAGAATGGAACTTTGGGAGTATAAACCTGAATACTCAACTGCACATGGACTGCTTTGTAAAGTATTTAAGCAGCTTAAGCATGTAAATATGTTTAAAACACACAAGTTATTTTTTAATCTTCCATACAGAGTAAGAATTGCATTGTTATTACTTACTTGGGAGTAATGTGTTTTTATAACATATTACCATTTCATGAAATTACATTCTACTAGAAACTAAGACTGAGTCAGGAGACAGTGATTTCATTTTATTTTTTTCTTTTAAGAAAAAGTGATTCGGACTAGGTAATCCACAAAGTTCCACTGAGAGACAAACTCTGTGCATAGCTGAACCCAGGAGAGTAACTCAACTTTGCCCTAAATGTAGAGTGGAAACACAGCACACCCCATCCATAAGGGACAGAGACATCTCACACAAGAAACAATGCTGCAGATTTATTTTCTTTAGTTTTAAGTTTTTATAACCTCAACTTAAAGTTGACATAAGACATTTTCAGTAATGAGTGCCTCTAGTTCACGTACTATACAAATTGCAAGTAAAATGAGGGGCATGTGAAGTACAACAAAATTCAAAATACTAGATTACGTTGGGTGGATGTAAAATACTACTGAAAAAAAGTGGCTTTTCAGCTTTTTACCTTTGCAGTTTAGAAATCTTCTCTGCACTCCAAAGACAGGCAATGAATGGAGAAAAAAAGCAAATCCAAAGCAAGCGGAATGACGGAAGAGGCACATTAGTAGGAGAAACAAAGGCAATGCAAGTCAAATGAGAAAAGAGCCACTCCGCCAATCACAAAGTCCAAAGAAAAACATTTTGCAGGTGTTTCAGAAAAGCATGCTGCTGTCCATCCATCCTAGCTGGGCACATGAATCACACTCCATACTATTTAGTAGTCTACATGTATACTTGCAATAAAGAGAGCACATCTCTTGTATGGTACAGAATTCCTTGCCCCAAAGGGCTTACAATCTAAGTTCATAAAAAAAGAATGCATCAAGTAGCTGAATCAAGATCAAACAAATGGAGAAGACAAGGAAATAATTTTATAAGGGATTAAAGTTGGGTTACATTACTAACTGAGGTAACTTCTGAATGTCATTTGTGGCAGCGATGTTCTTTAAGACATACAAGTAATTTTTCAGTTAGAAGCTCTTCTGATTATGAAAAACTGGTTTAAAATGTACTGAATGATGCATTAAAAATAATCCACAAAAATTCTTAAAAATAGACTTGTTGTCAAGACACAAAAACGTTCAGGTTGCCCAAGTTCTTCACCTGAGACACTAACTTGTCATTTTGCTAAAAAGATATGGATGTTACAGAAAACCATATGTACACGTCACATTTGAATGCAAGAGGCTTTTTACATTTAAGTTTAAAACGTTAAATTCTGAGTTAAGAATCCTGCTGTTATAAACATAGGTTTAATACTTAAATATTAATATGAAAATAGTTCTATTTTTAAAATGTAATTTTAACTTTAAAATAAACTATGGACAAGATACAGTTGGCTTGAAATCAACAGTCTTTGACTACAGTAAGTGACCCATTTTTCCCAACTTCTTTAAACACTGTTCTTGCTACTTGGCAGTTATAATAGAAGTGACTAGTCCATCACCTTTGAAGTTTTTTAGTTTTGTTTTGGGTTTTGGTTTGGGTTTTTTTTCTTTGCATTTCCCTGGTTATATCTTATTTTTTCAAGTCAAAGTCTTGCACTTTATCTACTAGTTGGCAAGACATAGCTGAAATGTAATTTGTATATAACCTTTGTGCCCATTTAGCTATCACTTCTTAATTCATTAACAAGCAAATAGAAAGTATCTTTTCATGCAACTACGCCATTTATGCCTTTCTTACCAGGGAATCTTGCTTTGGATTATACACATAAGCCATCTGCAACACTTCCATGACATTTGAAAAAATGTTGGAATAGTTATAGTAATAAAAATTAACTATAATTATCCAATCCGTATATAATAACAAAAAAGAAAAATAATTCTTTTTCACCTTAACAAACAGCATATCCAGTGGAAAAATCTTACTTGAGCTATCCTTTTGTAAGTGAAGCAGATATTAAGAGAATTTCATTTAAGCACAGGAGTGAGACCGCGAGGCTAAGGACTGCTAACAGGCGATCCATTTAGTTTTAATTTTCAAAGGTACTCTTTAAGGAAATCAAACCAGAAATGAAGACTAAAGAACTATACATTTCTTTGACCCAGGTCAGTGCTAGCATTTACTTTTTAGGAGTTATAGCTACATTAAATTTGCTTATAGGAGTATACAAAAGGAGTAGAGCCACAGATTACCAAGAGAATTTGATCACTTCAGACCAATAGCTGAAAAATGAGGGAAGAAAATGGTCAAGGGATTATGATCAACTGTTTCTTGTACATGCCAAAAAATTACAAAAGATTCCCTGCAGACCTGTAATAAAACCCTCCCCACTTTGAATGAGTTTCAATTCCCAGGTAAAGATGAATCAACAAAATTAAAATATTGTGCTGTTTTATTGGTGTAAAAATCACACAATTGCTAGTTCTGATTCTGCAGAGATACATCCATGCAGTTAAACATCTATGATCCCACAGCCAGAAGAAGCCATTAAATAGAATATCTGCTGTTAGTCAGCAATTAATGCAAATTTACATATGAGATCAAAAGGTGTGTATCATACAATATACAACAAATCCTAATACAGTACATCAACCTGAATAGCAGGATACACTCAGGGAACTCTGTTAATAGTGAAGCCTGTCTATACGCCAGAAAAATAAGGCCTGGAAACAAGATGACAGAAGGTACCCCAAAATTCCTAAGCAGCAAACTGTTCAATTTTTGTTTTTATTTTTTTTTTTGCTGGGAATTAGAAGTTCATAGAGGTATTGACACATTACTTGACAATACAGTTTGTTACAGTGAAGACTGGTGGATGTGACCTGTTATTAAAAAGGTAATGTGTGAAACATGCAATTAAAAGTGGTGCTTAGGTAATGTGTAATTAACATGTTGGGGATTTACACCCAACTCTTTTCACAAAAGGGAGGACTGAAAAAGGCCTGTTTGACAGACTACTGATTGTACCATAAATCTTTATATGCATGCGGCTGAATCAGGATCATGAATGGATAAAATGTGAACACCTGGCAATCTGTGGTTACATACTCTATAATGTATGCAACACAAACACAAAAATCAAATCCAGTTGATATGGCAAACAGCCTGCAAGAACTCTGTCAACCTGAATAAGTTGGTTTATTGCAAAGAGGCAGGCTTTCTAGAATCGTGAACAACTTTCCAATTGTGAAAGGCAGCTTGGGAAGTAACATTGGCTGATGACAGATTGCTAGTTTTTCTCTTTTCTGCACAATAAAATAAATGCCATAGCAAAAGAAAAGTTTATGTGCTTAAAGTTTAAAGTCAACTGATTAGCAATCCTCTTCTGCAAAGATGTTTCAATGGGAAAAAAACACAGTAAAAAATTCCAGTTGGAAATTTTGGCGACAAACTCTGCAAACTCAAGTCCAACAAAGATCACAGATGCCCACAGAAAATGATGTGAGAGGCAGTATCACATTCAAGGAAAGTTTTTTTCTCTGTACTGAAATTAAAATACTTAAATACAAAAGTGGACAAATTGACAAAACAGAACCACAACATTTAATGTAGAATACAGTGCACTGAGCTAGATGCATGGATCTTTAAATAGGCTTTGAAACCAATACCCCTTTCAAAATTAGTAAATTCACAGTTAACGGCAGTAGGCTTAGAGGTGAGAGAAGGGTCGAAGTTGTTCCAGTTGGACTTCCAGGGAGATTCTCTCTTCAAGAACATCCTACAAAAGAAAGATTTTTCTACTGACTGTCCACAGAGAATGAATATTAAAAACTTCCTCATCCAATCAAAACTGGTAAATGTCAGCTTCAGTTTTGAGAACTAACATCCAGGTCTCTTCTAGAATCTGGGAGAACTGTTCCCATAATCTGAATAGAAGACTGGCTAGCTAGTGATTACTCATAAATGAAAATCAATACCTTGCTCAAAGGTGAAGCCATTTAATATACTTCATTCCTTTGAAATCACCCAAGACCACAAAGTTGTAACCAGCTGCAAACCCAACTATAATATTTTCAAGAGAGGTCTAAAATGTTAAGGGGGTAAAAGCTCTGATCTCAGTTAAGGGATTCGAAACTTGCAATTTTTTTCCCCCGGTTTTTCCTTTTATGTGAATTTTACACACCTTGACTCTCATAAAGAGTAACAAGTGAAATTCAGGCTTGATAGTTTTTAAAATGGCCTGTTTTCCAGTCTAGACAATACTACATTAATTCATGTTTACATTTAAGATTTTTTTTTTATTAACTTGATAATTAAAATTAGATATCTTAAGGTAAGAAAGATGTCAAGAGAAAGATGTTAAGATGCTGCCCACAGATAAATCCAAGACAATAATAGCTGACCTATATAAACAGATGACTACTCTTAATCTGGAATACAAAACTTGCAGCTTAAGAACATTATATTTGTTTAAAAATATTTATAATTATTAAGACTTTAAGGTTTACTTTTTCCTCAGAAAGCAGGCCACTTCAGCTGCTCTTCTCAGTACTATTTTTAAAGTATCTGATGACCACAACAGCTATCCCGAATTATTAATACTAAGCTAAGATTTCTGCTTTTTTATTTTTAGTATAGCTGAAAGAAAATACGTTGAAAAAAAACGTATTTTGTAGTAGTAAAAGTGTCCTTTGGAATTTCACAAAGCTTGTCACAACTAGGTACATTCTATGATGTATAAAAACAACTAAATATTTTATATCAATATCATCTGCTATGTATATCATTGGTTTGCAGAGATGCCTGTTACTGTGCATTACTAACATCTTGCCCTCTCAGGCTCTTCTCTTAAACAGACAAAGATTATGGAATTACCTTTAGTTGCTGCTGTAGTTCACTATTCAATCTGGCCAAAACAGTGTTGGTTTCTTTGTTACGTCTGATTGATGCCTGAATTGCCTTCTTGTCTTTCCCCACTGATCTGAGAATATATTAGAAGTATTGTAATAAGTCATTTCATTGCTTAGCTGAACATCTCATTTACAGTCCCTCTTTCTTAAAATGAGCAGAATCCTCTTCTCATATTTTCTCAACTTGTTACACTGTTACATTTTCCCTCTTCTGCCTGGCTCCATTAACCTTGTTTGTTTGCATGGAAGCCACATATACTTGGTTTCAACCAAGCACATTTTAAAAACTTGTCATAATCAATTTTCTGAAGTCCCAACAGACTGTACCACATTCATTTATCTCAAAGTGACTAATGCAACAGTCTACTTTCATCCTAAGACACAAAGACTATACATTTTGGACTGTTCATAATGATCATTATTTAAAATCAAATGCTGCATCTTAATACTTCCAACACTTATTTCCACATACTTGCAGAAGTTAAAAAATTCAAGATGTCTAAAAGGTCTCTCAGTAGTAGAGGCTTTGGGACGATCTTGTTTAAAAACCAACACCCTTTAAATTGTTAAATTAATCAAACACATTGAAGTTGTTTGCAACTGCTAGAACAGAAAGTGTGTATGCTGTTTAAATGTAAACTTTCCAGTAACAGATGTATTTATACACTTCTTGGGTTACCTAGGAATAGATGGCTGTGAAGCAAGAACAGCAGCTATGACACCTGTTTTCTGTGTATGTTCCTCAGCTTCAGGTCTTAGCTCATCTTCTGATTTTAATCTTCTGCGAATAGGCTTTGGTGGTGGAGCAAGTGGGGTAGTGCCTTTACCCTGAAGAGGAAAACACACCCTATTAATTCTCACAAACTGCATTTCTACTTTGATTATAACCTGGTAATTTGCGTTACATATTCTTAAAACCAGTTACTGAGCTAACTGAATTTACAACCTATTTTCTGATGGACACGTAGCTGCATTCTTGTATGGTCTGGAAAAAAACTTAAGTACTAAATTCCACCCCCCCTCCCCGTGAAAGGGCAGTAAGTTGCTACAAACTGACAAACAACTGTGCAAGCAGACACACCAGGGTACAACTGACAATTGCAAATACACAACATCTCAGAGCATGCTTTCTCCCCCATTAACTATGTGATTGTAACAAAAAAGCTACTGTTAACCCAGTTCTGCACTAAAAGTTTTGCTCTGTTTCAAAAATTTGAACACTTACAAGTATCTTAATTTCCTGCTATCTCAAGAATAAAGCTAGTCATGAACATCTTCTGATGCACAAATTCACTATACATGCACTTACTGCAAGCACATATTGGACCTAAGAAAACTGGGTTCAAGTGGAAGTGTGTAAAGTTGCTGTTGCAAATCAAAACAGCTGTATAATTTCATATACATCAGACAACTGCACTCTCCTTCCAAGTGTACTTTGCATACCGCGCTAGTGGGGACATTAGCAGGTGCTTTGTCTTCAACTCTTCCATCTGCTTTGGCAACTCTAAGAGAACTTGCAGAATCAGAGGGCTTTTCAACCTAAGGGGATATAAGCTATGTTTAGAAAACTACTTCTTAACAAGTATTTTATTCAGCAACAGTTGGAATAAATAGAAGTGTGCTGTGTTTCTGACACATGAATACAGTTAACACCTAAAATTCCAGTTCAAGTCTTCTTTAGAAGCACAAGCTGGAATACAACATCACCTGCTTTGGAGCAAAACCACTTAAGTTTTATACATTGGTCACAAACACTGTTTTGGCCTGGGAGCAGCTTACAGAAGAGGCACATAGTAAAAAGCTGTACTTCCAGAATCAATAGTCAAACCTGTCTTTTGATACAGAAATTAAGATTCAATACAGCATCTAAAATCACTATTAAAAAAAAGACAAAACAGTTGCTTGCAAGTACTCTGCTCTCAAGCACTATACTCTGCATGTTGGAAGACCTCTGAATAAAGTCAAATCCCCAATGTTATAAGGTACCATATAGTACAAAAGAGGCTGTGGCCTAATGATGAACTGTTACAGCTGTTTCTGCTATTACTTTATCACCATTATTTATTTGGTACTGCCAAAGGTTAATCCCTCCAGTGGAACACAATGCAACTGTTCCCCATCCACATCAATGCAAAACAATCAGCAAGGTTAACTTAAGCAGTTTTCAGTAGCAGCTTAAGCTAACATAGCTGATTTGGCAATGAGGTACATGGAGCATGCTTAAATGATTCTACGTCACTGACCTTCCTGATTAAGAGAAGCAAGAACATGCTGCTGATAGTTGGCAGAACTTTAAAGCACCACAGGTACTTTTGCAACTGAGGATGCAGAAGTGCCCCAGAGAACTTACAGTCTGGATGAAGGCCACAAATTATGAAAGGAAAACATGAAGTAATTCATGTAATAGCAGTAAGCTACTGTGACATTAATAGGAATAAAAGTTTGGAAGCCTCAGGGTTTAAGTCCTGTGTTTGTAGTGGGAAACAAGGCTTTGTAAATGTCTCCAATGATCTATTACAGAAGGATGCCAGAGCTCTATTCACTTTAGCTGTTTGTCCAATGGCTTTGAACAAAACCAAATTACTGGAGTTTTAGCAAATGTATACGAATCTTAATAGTCATCTCATTTATTAAGACAGACTACTTTAAAACTTACCAGTAAGTCATTTGGAAGGCTGGCAAGAGTGAGCACAAGAAAAGTTTTGCCTATTCTAAACATTAAATGCACCAACACAATTATGTGTGTGCACATACATGCTAATAAGTACAAAGTCTTTTAAATTACAATCAAGAACTGAGAAGAAAAGAATTTCTCTGCCTAGGTGTTTGGCAGTTACTAAGTGTAGCAGTGTCTAATGTAATTGCTTTCTAGCAATGGATTGGGACACCATTAAAAAACCCCCACTGAGTTCAAACAGCAGAAGCAGGTTTTAACAAAGTCTCGTAACTGTTGGTGGTATTAAGCAATTGACAAGATCTTAACTTCTGCTCACCTGCAAGACTTCTGAGTGTGTTTCAATTTCATCTTCCTCCTCTTTGTTTACACCTGAAACAGCAAATGCCTCAAACTGGCTGAAGTCTGCAAAATTTGGCTGTTCTGGTATTTGTTGAGGTGAGGTACTGGTATGAGCTATTAGGCCTTCGGCATCTACTGGACGATGCATATGAGGACCTGCACCCTGCAATAAAAATCACAAAAATATTTAGTGACATTGTTCTTAACATAGTTCTCTGATGCAAAGAATCTTGCCAAACAACGGTTTGTGACAGAACGTTAAAGATTATTTGCCTTTTTAGTGGACAAAGATTTATGTCCTGTCAGTAGACAAAGTGCATCTCATCCTAGATACGAAAAAGACAGACCACTCTGTGTTTACAAAAACAGAGAAATATTTAAGAGAAAAGGAAGTTCAATCAAATGTGTTATTATCCAGAGAATGAGACCAAAGACGGATGCACCACAGGACTATCTAGACTCTATCTAGACGTTTCTGCTGTCACACAGTCCAGCGTGGCTCTTGTCAGACTTGATACAGATTTTTAGTTTAGTTCCAGAAACATGTGCTCACACTGTATGGAATACGTCTGTCATTGTACCCTCTTTCCTTGCAGATGATTCCTGGATCCATTGACTGACCTCAGTTGCTTAAGTCTAACAAGTAGCTGCTCCTGAAAAAAAACCTGACAAGCAATTTTATCTGTCCCATATCAGATCTGCACAGCAGTTGAAGGATTCAGCTGATTGAGACAAAGAAAAAACAACTTTTCCAGAATTTGTTTTCTATGAAATCAGCTGACTGAAGTGACTTAGACCAGGACTGCAAAGATCACCAAGCCTATGACAAAGAAAGAAAAGGGACCACTCTTTTTGGGAGAAGAAATGTTATGTAAAACTTTACCCTGGCCAGACACGGAAGACAAACACTTACTTTGCAAAACTTTGAAAGATTGCACTCACAGCCTGTGTTATGGCCTATTAGCTATACAGGGACAGGCAAAGAAATGTGAAAGTAACTTTTCTCTCTTTCTTACAACTCAGAGCTCCAGAGCCACTCTTTCGTCCTCAATCTCTACTTTAATTCCTTCCCATGGTTCCACCAGAAGCAACTCTTTATTCAGGAAAGGCTAACATTTGGCTATAGTCTAGGTTTTGCCATCATTCACATCCTGGCAGTTTCAAGAAATACCAAGCAATACTACTCATTTCAGAGATAAGTTAAAATTCAGAGTTAGATAAAAATGATGCAACAAGTTAGGAATATGACTTTTCAAAAGTGACAACATCACCTGTGAAGGCTGTGGTCTTGGAGGCACTGCAGGGGGATAGGCAACAACTCCAGCCTGTTGCTGTCCTGTAAAAGAGGCATCGTGTTTGGCCAAGATGGTTACTCTTCACATTACAGTGCTACCTAATTTTTTGACTTGTCAACATGAAGAAATTCTGCATTTTGCCTACATAGTAACCTGTCATGTTGAGAACCATAACTGTAATGTCATCTCCTTTCAAATTTGCAAACAGACAAATCAGGGAATCAGAACATGGATCTTATCCTTTGTTCCAGCTCTAAGTACAAACATGGTCATACTTTTCGATCTTACACCTTTTTAATTTTACCCTCATTACACACTCTTAACATTTTCTCATACTTTGTGATCCTGAGTTGAAAAGTACTGAGAAGTCAGAAGTACAATCAAAACCCTTACGCAGAGCGTCAGAAGTGACCTTTAATCATCTCCTCTGAAGTGAAATACTTAACACCTGTCTCCAATACCTCTGATACCAAAAGTACTCCTCTTGAAAATTTACTGGCAGATGCAATCCATTGCATGTGGGTGCACTACCAAAATGTTATTTCCTGACTTTGCTTCCCACATTAATCTAAAGGATTAAAATGCCAGCATTCAGAATTTACTTCTAAATTATCTATTTAGAGTGGAGTACAGATTTTAATACAAACAGGAAGAGTGACAACATTTCCAGCTTTTTAATTCAGAAGCAGGGTTTTAAAAACACACTCTAAATCTTCCATCAGAAGGAAAAAAAATTGCTTCAGGAATATATGTGCTGAAAAATAATACACACTAGGAACACAGTATATCTACCTGGGGTAACTGAAAAGGATCGGTTCATATCTAAAGATGATGATCGAGAATGAGAAGGATGAGGCCTTGGAGGGGGTGGCGGCGGCGCAGCGTTATCTGGAGATGTTCCTGAATGTGATCTGCAAAACATATAAGCTTCTGTAGTGATTTCGGGCAGCTACAACAGAACTAAAATTCCAAAGGTCTTCATAGTATGCAAATAAAAAATAAAGTTTGACACATGGAAAGAGCTTGACTGCCATTGATTTTGAAGACTGCAAAATCAGTTTTAAACTTCTGGTATTCTTCAATTTCACAATTGTTTTTATATTTCTATTTACATAAATCTTTGTTATACAAATTATTCTTACATTATCATAAGTAATTTATCTTTGGGAAACCAATAGCTTGATACACATCCCAAACCGTGGTAGTTCAAGACTATAGAATCCTAATATGGCAATTCCATCCAGATAGTAGTCACTATAATTTGCAAAGTATGCAAGACATTGTCAACATCCTGATTAGGTTTTAAACATTCAATATCACTGACAAAGAATTAAGTTTCTGCTGGATATGCCCCCAGGTATAATGAGCTTAAGGATATATCTCTGTGTACAAGACAGCTATTTAATTCTCTGCCTTACAATTTTACAAGTCTATATACTCGATAGCATCTTCAGAAATTTTAACTCATTCCTAGGTCGGAGCACCATCTAGTGGATACCTATTGTAAGTTCATCGAGCACACGCAGGCTAGAAGGCTAGAAGGCTGAAGTACACACTTAAATGCCATTTAAGTAGGATTTCTTGTACACAGGATTGTTGTACAGCTTCCACTTAAAAACAGCTTTGCAGAAACTTCCAAACTAGTCCAATCTGAGCAAGACAGATTTACTGAATCACTGACATAAATACAGATATTCTTTTATTGAACTCATAAGTGATAAAACTTTTCTGTAACTAGGAGAGGTAAGAGGTACCAAAGTTTTACACCAAACCTATTAATTCCTGGATGTGTAAGTCCAGACAGAAAACTGAGTTATCACAATAGAAAGATCTGCTTCCTTAATATACTCTCCAGGACACTGCTTCTATAATACCATCTCATCCCCCAGGTGGTGAAATACAAATCTAATTACATTGACTCCTAGGGTCATCCCTCTAGCTAGTCTAGTATAAAAGGTGCAAGTAGGATAAAAAAAAGCAGAAAGTGGCTTAAGGACACTCCTGAAGTATCATTATCTGACATAGCCTTGTCAGTCTTTGCTTTTTGAAAATACAAAAAGTACTCTGGACTAATGGTAGGGTTAAGGACAATGTCATCTCTGTAGATAAAGCTGCAATTCGTAGAAGAGATATCAGTGGAAGAAAGTAAAAGAGGAAGTGCGAGAAAAACTCCCTGGGTGGACACTGCCAGATCCGGACAGAAGCTACCTGTGCCATAAAACAGCAACTCATCAGAAAGGTTCACTCATCTATACAAGTTGAGCAAGAGAACCCAACCCAAAAATCAGAGATGAAATGAACATGTTGAAACCATCATGTTGATAGTACAAAAACATACATAGAAGCAGGACAGACAATCAGATTTGCCATTAAGTAACAATGGAGGAAAGAAGTTTTCAAGCTGCTGTACTGAAGAGACAACTGCAAGTCTTTCTTTGCTATTGATAGCACCCTAATTATTTTTGTTTTGAAACTTACCTGTGAAACTGATTGTAAGATGGTTAATGGCATAGCTGGTTTTTAATCCTATTTGAGCAGATTTAAACAGGAACAATTAGTACCAGCTAGTACAGCACATTCTCTTATGTCAAACGATGCAGTTGGTTATGTGCTTGCATAGCTTCCTCCAAACCCTTAATTTATATTGGGCATATAACTGCCCTTCATTTTATAAAAGCCACTTATTAAAAGAGGTTGAGTTACTGCCGTGACATTTCTAATTTATGTTTTATTCTTCTTTTATGCTACAAAGCCCCAAGGTCCTTCTCCATTAATTCCTAATGGATATTTTTTTAAAAAGCAAAAAATTGGTTTCAAGTAACATCATTTCCTGTGCTTACATTCCTTTGTGTTTAAGGAGAAAATCTTTATCGAGATTTCTGACTGAACGTGGAGTTACGTTTGATTGGCCAATCCCAAACAACATTTTAGGCTACGTTATATTTTGCATTTTCACTTTACACGTTAACAGGAATGGCATACATTGTTAATGCTTTAGAAAACAGACTGCCCCAGGTTCCTGAGAGTTAAAGTTAAGAATCTATTTAGCCATCATTTTACAAGCTAGTTGTCAAACAACCATAAGCACAGAACAGGCTTCTTTAAACACCCTTTATTTATTTTTTTCAGTTGCTACTCTACTGACCGTTGCCGCGTTACAGTGCTTCCAATTTGCTCCGGATCTGAAGCGTAGGAGTCTGAACTGCTGTAACCATCTGCTGGTAAAAGAAAGTAAAAAGTTTAATATTTGGTTTGCATCATTAATATATCCTAGCAGTCACAGGTAGTATATAATTTCAAATATCCAATTTTAACTTTTACTTTATAAAAAGGTTTATGTGCTTGTATTGCTTCCCTGTAAGGTATCATGTGGGCAGGATTCAAAATCCTCTAGTCTGAATAATTGAAGGATCCAATACAAACCAACTCACCTCGCCCAAGATCGAGTTGTTGGTTACTACTGGGATGTACTAAAGAATAAACAATGACAATAATGTTGTATTTAAAATACAAAATGTAAGTTTCATAAGCAATAGTTTTTAAACACTTGACATTCTATCACTTCAACAATCTAGCCAACAAGAGTAAAGGATATCCAAGAAACATAAAAAAAGCAAGGAGTAGGACATGCTTGATTTTATAAGTGCTGAAGGATTGTCATCCACCTTAGAAGTCAGAAAAAGGAAAAGATATCTACCGATATCTACTGAACTCAGTAGCTTTGCTACTACTGTAACTTCTGTATCTTCAAGGCTAGTACTCAGCTCTGTTTTGGACTAAACCTTTTTAAAAACGTTCAGCTTTTTGTTAAGGCAACCCATAAAAATGAAAGATGCTATTACAGCATCATGTAGACAGTTTCCTTAAAGACACCCCTACCCTTAAAAGCTGTGCAAAGCTCTAGGTTTTTTCCCCCAGAAATGAGGAGTCTCACCAAAATCACAAGATGTGTAGAATGAATGTAGACAGAAAAGTGGATCTCACAATAGTTTATTACAAGGTATGATTCCAGAGCACCCAGTAAAGCATAATTAAAGGTGGAAAGTCACTGGAGCAATGAGACTCACCTGATTAGTTATCAGTAAAGAGGAAAACTCTATTCAAGAACATCAAGATTTTTATTAATTGCCCAGTCTCAAGGCATTACTTCAACCTTTTAGCACATTAAAGTTTTCAGAAGTGTTAAGACACATCAGCCTGGACCCAGAAACAAGAATCCTGCAGAGATGATTTTCCTGTTCAGCAAGGCACATTCTTACCTGTTACTTCCTCCCTTGCCCCCTGCCTTAAAACTGCAGGTACATTAATCTAATGAAGTTGGCTTAAGACCTTTATGTACAGTCAGCTGAGGAATACCTAATTTCAAGTTTATTTCAGATTAGAAGTTATTTTACAGGTGTGTCTCTATTCAATGAGGGTTACAGAGAATTAAAAATGGTATTGTCCTGGTTTCAGCCAGGACAGAGCTGGTTTTCTCACAGAAGCTAGTGTGAGACTACGTTTTGGATTTGGGATGAGAAACTGTTGATAACTTGCTGATGTTTTGGGTTGTTGCTAAGGAGTCAAGGACGGTCCAGCTTCCTGTGCTGGCCTGCTAGCAAGAAGGCTAAGGGTGCACAGGAAGCCACGAGGGGACACAGCCAGGACAGCTGACCCAGGCTGGCCAAAGAGATATTCCATACCATATGACGTCATGGTCGGTATTTAAACTGGAGTTAGCTGGGGTGCGGGAATCACTGCTCAGGGACGGGCTATCGATTGCCGGGTGGTGAGCAATTGCTGTGTTGGGCATCACTTGTTCTTGTACAATTATTATTGTTGTTATCATTGTTGTTTCCTTCTCTCTTTCTGTCTTATTAAACTGTTTTTATCTCAACCCACGAATTTTTTTCTAATTCTCTCCCCCATCCCACTGGGGAAGGGGGAGTGAGTGAGCGGCTGCATGGTGCTTAGTTGCCAGCTGGAGCTGAACTACGATAGGTATCTATACACACGTCCTCTAACAAAGCAGAAACCGGAATGTCTACCATGAGATGACATTTCAGTTTTCAGGGTTGAAGTAAGAAAATTAAGTTTTAAGCAGATGTTGGTTATGTGGTAAATGAAACTCTCTCCAATCCAAGCATCTCTAGTACTGGGTATATTTCTCAAGCCACTTGGGATGTCGTATAACCTAGCTAAACAAGAATTCATGTAATCACACTTCTAAAGAGGAAAACGTAAGCTCTTCTGGACCAAAGAGTTTTACATCATTTCAGTACAAAACTACTGGGTTTACACTGATAACAGAAGAATATTTCTAAACCAATTTCAAAGACATATGGACAGTAAACAATTTGATTAGTCTGCTTGTCTAATATTGAGAGAGGTCCCAGATTATATGCAGCCTGAACTGACTCTGGAGTCTGTTTCTCAGATTTTGTTGTTGTTGTTGTTGTTTTCTTTAAGCTGGGAACATTTCTTCAGTAAAAACAAGGTTTGAAGAACTGATTACTTGAGTCCTCTGCATTATTAAGACAGAAGTATTTTGGTTGGTTTATAATATAGGAGTCCTTTAGAAAGCGCCTTTTTACAATATGTTTTGCTTTCCTCATGAACCGTTTAAGTGGCATTCTTCGTTCTGAGCAATGTCCTGAGCCTGTCTGTCTTTTCAGCCAGAGTTCTGTTTTTACTACGTAGTTGTCTTATGCAAAAGAAAGAATGAGCACACATGGTCTGTTAGTGGGGAAACTATTACTATACGCAGGATCTAAATCCTGAGTGCCCTTCTGTACTCCCTTTTCCTTATCTGAGTATAGCTTAACCTTTGAAAAAGGGCCTGGAATTGTAATTATACCAAGAGGTATTCTTCCCTTGGAGGAAGAATACAGTGAAATAAAACAAACCTCATTGCAGTGTAACATAAAGCCACCCTGTAGTCTCTCAAACTGTAGTATCATGGGATGTCCATCCTTTTTCTGAAGAAATGGCTCTTGTCAATATTGTAAGTAATTTGGATGGTTAACACCTTCAGGTGAACCCTGAAGAAGTAATTTAACACAAGCTAACTCTAGAAAATGAGTTTCTGATGCTTAAAAACCCACTACAAATCTAACAGGGTTCTTTTTTGTGCAGACTTCTACCTTGGTAATTACATTTCTTAATGTTCTTTAGTGTCATACACTATTCAAGTATCTGAGCACCATCTACGCTAAATCACAATGTCGACACTGCAATTCCTTGTGCTGTTGGTCTGGACTAATTTTTCAGTTTGCTTTAGTTGCTTGTTTTTGTTTAGCTGTGCCAGAATTTGTCTGAGAATAGGGAGTCTCAATCTTAATTTAGGCAAGTACTTTTCTAAGTGGGTTTTGTTCGGGGTTTTTTGTTTGTTTTTTTAATATATATTGCTGGTTTGGAAGTGTTGTTTCAGAAACAGATATTCTTAAAACCAAGGACTAATCAAATCAAAATATGCAAAATGTTTTCGACACAGGAGACACTGAAAATCAGAAGGGCTATTAGAAGCAAATAAACAGTTGAAAAGCTGTACCTAAAAAATAAATCTAGAGTCTACTGCATTTTCTTAGTAGCTAAAACAGATGAGAATTGCCTAAAAAATTTGTGGTCGATAGATTAGCTCCCAAGGTTAAAAAAGAAAACAGGAAGATGGAAAAGAGCTAACAAAAACGAACTGTTTCTGAGCACATATGGCAGGAAAAGATCTCCAGTGACATCAGTAGAACTTTCTTAATTACTACTTCTAATATATACCTCATATCAGAAATGTCTTTACCTTAGCAGAAGCTCTAAAATGAGATAAACTTGTCCCATCTAGCAAGTTTTCATTCACTGAAGAATGTATCAGCTCTACATTTGTGTAACATAAAAAATGAGATCAGAAAGTACTTTGATACTTACTAACTGTATTTCCAGCTGTAAATTTTACAGATGAACTCATTTTGTTTTCTTCTGGGAGGTCAGGTGGTTTCACAAGTAGTGGGCTAGTAGGGTTAGCATGATCTAGATGGAAAAACAAGTCTAAATAAACAAAGGTATTCATATGAGCCTTTATTTCTGATGCCAAAGCTTTACATTACTTTTCTGTCCTTATCTGAAGTGCTGCACTCAAAACTAAAATTGCTGCGTTTTAACACTTGGTGCATTAATTATTTTAACTTTGAAGTTTTATACTGTAATAGTCTTGTTTCTATTTTTCAGTGTTAAGCGTTGGGAATCTTTACTTACCTACAAGGCCAGGGAAATGTTAAAAGAAATGTGTTGTGGATACTTGTTTATTCTCATATGCAGAAGACTGTGCATGAGTTACATGTCTTTAGGAAATATTGTCATATTTGGACACACCTATAAATTGAGACGCTACTGTTCCTCAAGGAAAGTTATCAAACCGCCTTGCTTATTATTGACCAGAGCATTAAAAAACAGGCCTGCCAATACTCCCAAATGCTGTCAGGTTTCAAAATAATAAATTGTGTTTCTGACCACAGTAGAACAAACTTTATTGACACAGGCTATGTTCTCCATCTTCACAGACTCCTTCAGTATTTAATAAAGAAAATTAGACATTCTCCTGGAGGCCCAAATCAAATCTATATCATGATGCTCCTGAACAACTCCAAGCAATGATCTCCTTCCTATACACAGTGAAATCCTCATTGTAACAAATGGCCAATTCAAACTCCGCACCTATCTGAACAGTACTCTAATTCTTAACTCAGATAATCTCATTAATTATGCTGGTTACAACTGCAGATATATTCATCTAAGGAGAAGAAAAAAGTCAGCAGGTTTAAGGAAGCAAAGCCAACTCTAATTGTACAAAACATTTCTCATTAGCAAGAGAAAATATCCTACCACTTCCAGTTCTTTTAAGCTCCATTTCCTGCATGTGGATTTTGCTTGGAGTCATTCTTATGGGAACTGGGTGCACAATTGCAGTGTCCTGTGGAGGAGATCAGAGTTCAGTGACATTCATCTAGCTTTAAATTTTTCTATTAAGAGTCTCTGGCACCATGTGAAATGTCATTTCCAAACAAAATTTCATAAATTTTTTTTTTTTTTTTTTTTTTTTACACAGTTCCAGGGAATTGAATATACCCATAAACCCAAAGATCTATAAGCTGGAATTTCTCTAAACATTTATAAGGTGTAACATAGCATACTGCTTTAAAATGGCACTAGAAATATTTCTATAGATAACCACGTTGTAAATTGGACCCTAATTTTACCAGTTTTCCACCATGTCTGGCATACTTCTGGCATATCTGTTACTTTAAGTGCATCTTCAAAAAAACAAACAACCCCAAACCAAAAAACCCCAACAAAACAATTTCAAAACCCCACTCCTTGGCTTTTACTTATGATGCCTCAGAAAGTTATGGCTTCTTTAAATAGTATGAGTAATTCTCTACAAAATAGGTACTTTTTAGGAGTCTTTAAAATAGTACAATCTTCTAAACCTTCGGATAAAAACCCTATGGAAAATATCTCTAGATAGGCATTGACCATACACACTTAGGCATTTTCTTCGTAGTTCAGACAAGGGACTCCATCTGGACTGACTTTCCAGACAGCCCTTTCCATTTGGTTTGGAGCTTAAGTGTAGATAGCTTAAAAAAAAAAATCTCAAAACTTTTATGGTTGTACACAAGTAACCTAAAAATATGGACATAGCTGTCTGAGGTTTTTTCACCGTCATCTATATTCAGAATACATGAATGGGTGGGACAATGACAGAAAAAAAAAATCCCAGATTATATTCTGTCCCTAGAAATAATAAGAAGTTTCAAAACTACCCTTGTATCAGAACTGTAATCTGTTCTGACTACTCGAGAAGATCCATTTCACCAAGCATAATACATTTATGTTAGTATCTTCTAAAACTGATTAAACTGACTTGCACTACTCTTGTTGCAAATATAAAATTTTAAAACCACTTCCTAGTCACAGCTCAAACACTCTTGTTGCACCAGGCTTTTAGGAATAGTTATCCCTTTAAAATATATTGCTTCTTTTTCCACTCTTGCTGCAGCTACTTCAGTCCTCTGCTGTAATCTAATGTGCAGCGACTACAAAAATGTCTCAAATGATTAAATGGATTTTTATATAATGTATTAATTCAGATCATTAATCTAATTTTACACAAAACAACTTAACATGTTACCAACTTTCACTTACAATAGGCAAATCATGTTCCCATACCAGGGGACGATGTACTGTTTTACTCTTTCCACTTTTACCTCCAAAGCAGATGCTTTTCCAACAAAAAAAAGAAAAGAACTGGTCTATGAATTTACTCTTTAGTTAGTTATTAACAACTGCTTGAGAAAGACGATTTTGTCCTTTGGAAAAGCAGAAGTTGTTCAATAAATCAGTCCTTTGCATCACTGTTGAGACTGTTAAAATAAGAAGTCTGCACACTGCTACTGAAAATTTGCTGTGCTTTGTTCTTACTTTCGTATGAAAATAAAGACCCTGAAATATCTATTCCCCAAATCTGTTACCTCAGCAAGCATAAAAGATGATCACCATTCTTTAAAATTTTTCTCAACCACAAGCATTGTAAGAAAACGAATCAAGGATGTGATCTCCCGGTATATTTTTTGTATTTCTGTTGAATTTCTGTTTATATACACACACATGCACAAACAAACATGTATAAGGCTGTATATGATTTTTCCATATATCACTGTTCTACTTTTTAGATTACCAACATATGGGAAAAAATTCCAAACTTCAGATTTTCATCATTTACTAATTATGTGTAAGAATAAATTACTATCTTATTATGGAAATAAGACTGTGATAGCTCTTTAGTGTCAAGCAACCATACACAGTAAGAAACAACTATAAACTGATTTCCATTGTGTTTACTTCATTAAAACATAAAAATTCAGTACATGTAAACCAAAAAAGTCTCTATCAAAGTGAAAAACAGCCCTTTTTCATGTACGTATGACATTTTCATTTGTTTTGAATGTTTACTAAGGGCAATTCTGAGCACAGGGAAGAGTGCAGCTTGAATTCTAGCTTCCAGCATCTAGAAATGCTATTTCCATATAAACATCAGTGTTAACTCAGAGTGGAGTGCCAATGTATTTAATACATGTATATTTATGTATTATATATTTTCAGAAGCGACCTGTTTAATACTAAAAGCAATTAAATACGTATTATATAACAAAATATAATAGGTGTACATAATCAAATGGGCGCTAACACTGTAATTAATAAAATTAAAATGGACACTAACAGTGGTAATTAAATCCGTAAGAAAAGCAGGATGAAAGCAGAAGCTAAATACTGAAGTAATTTTAATGCATTTCAGAGCTGCTTCAATGTCACATGCTGTGAAGTTTAAAACCAGCAGAACTTGAAACACTGTAGTGAACTTCTGGCTCCCAAATTTGGCAAGATATTTAACGACATAATCCTTCAGAGCACTCCTCACTGAGTAAAGCATTAGAACAGCACAGGTTTAGCTGGAGAGATACTAAAAGCCTTATTAATAAGTAACTTGGTGAAAACAGGAGTATGAAATACCATGCCCATTAAAGCCCAGCAATTTTTTCAGTGAAGTTGGCATTGTCAGCTCCTAGAAGTTTGTGCAAATCAAGCTTTGCAACTTGAAAAAAACCAAACCACTAAAGACGAAATCTAAAACAGGACTGATTTATCACTGAGAGGGGCCTTTGCATTAACTTATAAATAATTTCAAAAAAACATTATGCTTAAATACTTTGTGTGATACAGGCTTTGATAGTAGTGCTGCATCACATCAGTCAAGGGAAAAAAAACATTCTCTGCACTCAGATCTTAAACATGAGCAATACTAGAAAATTTATATTCCTAAAACAAGCAAAAAAATTAAGAAGCCTGCCACCATTCCCCAAAAAGCAGTCCATGGAATCATGCATAACAGCTAAATACAATGAATGGAAATTCAGTGTTAATAAAATTAATTTCAAACAAGCAAGCTAAGTGATTGACTTACAGGATCAGCTGGTGCAATGTTAGAATCAAATTGGGTCAGAGTTTGTGAGCTTGAAGAGCGTTCGCTAAATGTCTCCCACTGCTGAACAGACAGAGGAGAGAAGTCAGCATGATGAGAAGGATGGGAGTAAAAGATCACTGAGGAGATTTAGCATAGTAGTTCGGAGGTTGCACTGGGAAGTACTATATTTGCACTGGACAGTACTTGACTTGGAAAGCATACTAATACACATTAAGTATTTTTATTTCAGTCTGAGACTGCTAAGCAACCAAGTTTGTTATCTGCCAGTATTAATCTTTAATTCATATTTCATAATGAAGATACAGGTGCACAGTCAACACCGAAGTACCTTCAGAGGTCCTGTTTGCCAATGAAAATCATACAGGTAGAAAAACTGGTTAAGCCATTCAAATACTGCAAAGATAAAATCAGCGCCACATGTTGTATGTGCAATAGTAAAATCCACAGAAAGGCTCCTCAGCTTTGTAGCTGCTGAGTTTCAAAGGTATTTCATAAATGCTGATTTTCTTACAAAACCCCAGACTCATGAACACTGAGCAGAGTACTCCAATTACACTAGTTCAGCTTGCCAGTGCAACCCCTGAGAAGTGATTCTATGCTGTAAAAGTGTATTTTTACAAGTCTAAATCACTGACAAGGCTAAGAATTAAATTCAAACATACTGTTCATTGCCAAAAGCAAATAAGTCAATCTCTGAACAATTTTATAAGATATAGGCATGCCGTATCAATACATGGTTGTCAAGAGTCCTCATGCTAGTAAGTCAAGCTACAGCCACAACTGGATCAAAGCACGAAAGTACATAAGATTATTCTGTGATCCAGAAACCAGATTACAAATCACAACAGGAATGCTAAACTTGTTATATTTTGGTAAAATAACAAGTAAATATTAAGCCAGTTTCAAACACTACCACAAAAGTTACAAATACAATTTTTTTTTAGTGCTCAGAAAATTTGACCAAAATGATGTTAGTATAGTTGTGACAAACAAATCAATATTCTTGTCCCATCTCTATGGGCAAATCAATGTAAATGATTCCAGAAGAGAGAGGACGAACTATATGGTGCTAGTCAACCTAATCTCATGCACTCCTCTACACCAAACTATATTCAGCGAATGGCCTGTATGTGAACCTAGACTAAAACAGTTATTTCAGAAGTAACTCTTTATGGAAATCCCTAAATAAATGTTTTCAATCAGTTGAAATTAAATTCAGGAAAAGATCAATTAGATTTGTAACTGCTTCCATACATGGTGCTGCTCCTGGTAGAGTCAGAGCCTTATTTCTCCTTTTCAAGCGTTAAATTAAGGCAAAGATTATCGGATACTGTACATATGCCTTTTTTTTGGTGGTATTTTTGTTTGTTTTAAACACACAAAAGTACCAACCTTCATGGACAGAATCTAACAAAACCTTTTTACTAAGGATGTAACATTTCTCCTTCCTAACCGCTCTGTCCCACTTCCTGTATTAAACAGCTCATCTCTCATCACTCCATCCCTTCATAAGGGGCAGCACTGCAAGTAGTTTGGAGCTAAACAAGCATGTTGATTGAGACAGTTTTTACTAAATCAGAAACTTAATAGCCAAACTCTGCTAGCCTTTCCCCTGATTTAGTCTCTTGTGTTTACACAGCCTCCCATTTTTATGAAACATGGATTAATGTTTATTTTAGGACTACCACTACCCTTTAAAAATTTTTTTGGCCAGTGGCTTTAAAGCTACCTTTAAGACTGGCAAACAGACCGTTTGACTACAGAAATATTGTTTCTTAATTTTTCAAGACTTCCATAAAGGCATACAACATCTATATTACATTTAAGATCAATACTAAAACGTTATTTTTTTTTAGAGATGGATGCGGAATTTACCTCTTTTTCTACTCCTCTGAAGCCAAACTGCAGGACATTTATTACTTGTCCTCCAACTCCCTAGCTGGCCACAGACAAATGAACACTAACACCTCCTGACTGCTCTGAGGAATATATTATTTGTGCTGCATCCTGAACTACTACCAGAAGCTAGTGACTGCTAATCCTCTGGTTAATAGAAAGCTACATACATTAAGGATCTACTGGACTCCATCTCAAACTCTGGGCAAGATTTAAGAGCATTGACAGTACAACTGATTAGCTAGGATAAAAATCCCACTAGCTGAAACTAAAATATGTGCTTTCTAGACTTGCAAAAATATTTCAAAAATACTTTCAAAAGGCTGATTACTAAAAACTAAAACTCAAAACAACCTGAACTGTTACTAAAAGAACACCAAGACATTTGCAACAAGGTGTAACAGTTGTGAGCTCAAAAGCAGATCTCCACAGGTGTGTCAATGCTAATATGACCACATGACACTAGATTTTTTGTTTTCAACAAAAATTTAATAGGCTTTTCAATTCTTTTTAGGCTCTCAGAACTAAGTGCTCAGCCTTGAGACTGGATGAAAAGGATGTCTGAAGTGAGAAAGAAGTGATGAGTGAACACAGGAAAATGCAAAGCATGTAGCATCCAGAGTTAGGTGGATTTTCATGGTGGTTTTTATTCTAAAGTTTGAAATAGATGCTTTGGTCCATACTTGTGAGCTTACAGTAACTGAGCCTGGCAACTGGAGTCTAAAAATCAACTATGAGCTAGATAGAACAGAGTAACCAACAGTTTTGAAACTAACTGGGATGAAACTGTCTGAAAAGGCAAATGATCCAAAGATGCATAGCTTTTTCAAGCAATTAATTTTTTGACGACAGTTTTAAGAGGTTCAAAAAGGAAACAATTAGACTGGTGCCTCCAGTAATACTTGAAATTTTTTCATGGTGTTAAAACCTTGAGGACTTTGACCTGACTCATGCTGAAAAGAAAATGCCGAGGAGGAGGAAGCGTGCACAGCAATGTAGCTAAAAATCAGAAATTCCTTTGTGTTAGAACAAAAAACTCCCAACATTTAATAAATGTTCAATTCTGATTTTAGTATAGTTAGTATCTGGTAGTATATTTAGTGTGACAACTTCGCCAAACCTCTAAAAGTTTTAGCAGATTTTCAGAAAGGAAATACCAAATTACCTACCTGAATGGACAAAATCAGTTTTGTAAGACAAGATTTTGACTGATAGAGAATTTTCATTAACTTTGTTCCACTAGTGCAATTATCTTATTCAATTGGTTTGACTGCTTATATAGCAAACATGTTTGGTAAAGGATGATAAAGCAGCAGTACATAACAGCAAAAATTTAAATTTTAAATAAATTTAGCCAGCAGTTGGTTCAGATTCAACTGAGTCTTTGCTTCTGAAACAAACCCAGAGCAATGACTTATCTACATTATTGGTGAGATATTTTATATTTCATGGCAAAATCATCTCCAGAAATAAGTCTCAGGGTCCAGATCCATCAGAAATTTATTTTGAAGTTTTCCAAAAGTGCTGGCTATAAAAGCCCTTCAGAGGTAACAAAAAAAACACCCCAAACAAAAGCCCACCCTAAAAGAAAAAATTTAAGAATGAATACAACTTCTCTAATAAATTATGAGAGATCATTTTATGACTAATATAAAGTTTAAGTACCATTAACAACAACATTTTAAACAGTAGGTCATCTCCCAATGAGACAGAAATATCAGAAGGAAAACATTATCTTTTTTGCATTTTAACATGTGTAGATCCTTCC